ATATATATATATATAAGTGTGTTTTGAACATGAAAAAGAACACGATATGTCCCCTTAAAACATTTTAGACCTGCAGAAACAATTTAGAAGCGTATGGAATAATGTTGCTGATTAATCACATTTCATTTTAAACATGCAAATGTGCACATATAGTTCTATTATACAGTACATACTGTATATATTGACACTGATCAGTGTTATCCAAGACAGAATCAGAGACCTTGATTCAATTGTATGCTCACCATGTCAACCATCAGGACTTTTTACACCCCTTTCCCGTCCTTCCTCTGTCTGATAAAGTACCCACATAAAAATTGCATTTACAGCTAATAGCAAAAAAGGCTGTTTGAGTGCAACAGCTGACGTACCTTCTAGTTGGAGAAGTCCTCTTTCATCTAACCCTCACCTCTCGACCCTGACACCGGCATCAGGGCAAGCTCACCTCGATTGCTTCCCGAGACTTTGAGTTTCTCAGCCTCCTCTCATCAACGCTACTTTTCTTAATAACTGAGCATATTAAAAATGGATTTTCCTCCTTTCAACTTGAGATGGGACTTCATATCAAAGCCAGAAAAAAAAGTGCTTTGATTTTTCACCCGCTACCCACTCTTTTCATTTTTTCAATTTCTTTTTTTTTTGGGGCAAGGGTTGTCATTGACTCCTCTTTTTCAAAGCAGATTTATTTCATGAATTTTCATCAAGTGCCTGCTCTCAGGCATTGCCTCCAAACTATTTGAAATCATAGCCCATCACTCACCTGGACTCCATACGTACTGTGGCAGCGCGTCATGTTCATGAGTTTGTAATTGCTCATCATTTTTCTCGCTCCTACTGATCTGCGTTTAGCAAGATCGACAAGCCTCTAAGCCAGTGTCCTTCTATGTCTCCTCCTGGTTCACCATGTCACTGTGTTCTACAGTTTTTGGTTTGTCTCTCTCTCTCTCCCTCAGGCCACTTCCTCTGGGTGAACAGCTCAGCCTTTGGCGGGCCCTGGGTGCTAAGTCCCTGGCTGTGGGGGGGGCAGGGCCCCTGTAGCCTGGACATGGCTGTGTTCCTCCACCCCAAACAAAGTGGGCAATACACCACATGGCTCATAGAGCGGGACAAACCGCCAGTCGCCCTCTTCTCCACTGACACGCTTCCGCGCATCACAGGGTAAGCACGTTGTTTTATGCATGGATTGTACACCAGGAGACCGGATTTGAACTTGCACTGGGGGAAAAAAAAGAAACCTGAATGATTTGAATAAATGGAATAAGCAACCATGAAGAAGAAGTCCATTTCCATTCACGCATGATAGCCATAACGATGCACTAACCTCTTAGATCTCTTAGAATCAGCTTTGATTGAAGTTCTAAGCAGCATGCTCTGGTTCACTGAGTCGGAGTCCTGTATAGACCCCTTTTCTGTTAGTAGATATGGCGGCGTATATCTGTTGGCAGAGTGTAGGTGGAGGCAGAAACATGTTCTTTAATGCTGGCTAGAACGTTTTGTTGGCTTGTTTTTTGTTTGTTTTTATATAATGGCTGAAGAAAACGGTAGTTTCTCAGATTTTTGTACAGTGACTCACTATCCAGGAACACTAGTGTAACTTGAGAAACATTAACCAACAGGACCATTTTAACCGAGCCCTACACGCTGACTTATAGGCCAGACTTTATTCACACCTGACGGAGAAACCAAGCGTTGATAATAGAAGACAAACTGAAGCTGTTTAAATCTTTGGATGCCAATGACTATCCTGCAGGAAAAGTGGATATTCCGGCATTGTTAACAGCTGCCTACACTTCAAAGCAACCCAAAATGAGAGTTTGACAATGTCGGTGGAACATGTCAGAGATGGAGAGGACCTGTTGCTAATTTTGTTGCTTCCGATAACTGCAACCAAAGGCTCCCGGCTGCGACTATGGTTAGCAGAAGGCTAAACTATTATAGCTCTCTATCACTCTCTCGTAGTTTTTTTCCCCATCTCTCCCAATAATTTCACCTTCTACTTGATCCTGCAATCTTCCGCATACATGGGGCCTAAAGAGTAAGCATCCAGCAAGTCCTTAGACCCGCCTCCCAGCTCTCGGTTCAACCTCGTTCTCTGGCTCATACACATGAACGGAGGAACAAAAATGACTCTTGATTCAGCTGATTGGTGCGTTTTACAACTTTTAGGACCCAAGGATTTGAATAAAGGCTATTCAAGTGCTCGTACGGGGAAGTTCATTTCGCATTCAAATAAAACGATCTGCTGATTAACAGACATCTCTTTCCTCATATAAGTCCAAGGAGAAAAGTATTTTGGTCACAGAGCTCTTCCTGGGAGCTTGGCTGTAACTCCAACGGTTTGAAGAAGACTACACTAAACTATTGGCAACATCTTTACTCCAATTTCACTGATATTCCGTCATGCTCTTTTGATTCTGGCACCAGACAACACAGCAAGGGGGCGTTTTTGATAACTGACTTTTGCCTGACTACTCTGAGGTGATCTACATGTTTGCCTCCAGTCCGTCCTTTGTTTTGCCTGTAGCAAACACCCTGACGTAGACCTGACGTAGACCTGATGTCGGCACCGAAAGGTCTATACGTGCACATTTGGCTGCCAGCCAAGAGCTTTGTCGTGAATACTCTGTTCCCCAAACCTGTGTCAATGTGCTCCATTAGAGGCAGAGATTCAAAAAACAGTTAGCAGAATCAAATGATGGCACCCTCATCGAAAGTCTTTTTATATGGAGATAGACAGAAAGAGAGAGAGAGAGAGAGCTGGCCGAGTAAGAAGGGAAAGAAGGTTGTTCAAAACAGGCTGGGTAACAATCAGCTCCATGTGCTACTAATCCTTAATTAGCCTCACAGGTCCGCACTCCTCTCATTGTGGCTTTTCATCGGGGATCTGTCTCTCTCACTGACAGCCACATGGGGACGGAGGCCAGGACAATACCTAGCTCAAACATTTCTCCTGTAAACACCTGATGTGTGTGGTCGTATACATGGGCATGTTACATGTTAGCGTGTAGGAAGTCCGAATGCAAAGAGCAACTCTCAACATGTTCGATGCTGCTTGTGTGTGCCTTCTCTTAAGGGCATCGGAATCATACGAGTGTCACAATTTAATCTTGCCTCTCTCTGTTGCGGTCTGTGTGTGGGAGTGAATGCGCGCCAACGTGCGTCCGTGTGTTCATGCGAATGGCGAGTCGTCTTAAGGGAGCGTATAGCAGAGACGCACTCATTACATGCGTGACCGATTAGACCGTGCGCGTGTGCGCTCTCATTTCTAGTCTGAGGCTGCCATCCGCCCACGCCATCTCTGGCGTTTGGAGACTCGCTCAGCCAAACTCCCCACATTTCTTTACTCTTGATGCTCATGTCATAAGAAGTGTGTGGGGGGGGCAATAACAAAAGCAAGGAGACCTATCCGCCGACATCAGTCAGCTCGCTAATTGCCAACCCTCGCCCTTTGAATTTTTATCCTGTGTTTTGACATGTTTCACGTTCAATTCTGTAGTCGGGGCATCAGCACAGGGTTAGCCAGGAGGGAAACAAAACATCCTGTAAGCAGTGGCCATTTAACAAGGCCCCCTTTACTCGAGGGTAGATTCAAACTTATGAGGCTTTTCTAATTTTTTACTTTGTATTAAAATGGCTCACAGGAAGAAGCAGAGATAGCAGCCATGTCCAACTAAACAACAAATCATTGTCACGTAGTTTGACATTAACCGAGGCACTATTTGGAATCTGCCCACACAATCTTGCAGAATCATTATCACTGTTTATTCTTCCTCTTCACGCTGCGTTATTAATGGAAAAAATCTATTAATCCAGTAAATACTGTTGCTCCTACAATTTAAACAACCTTTTGTTTGTTTCTTTACCAAATTCTCAATCAAGAAGAATCTGATTAACTCTGAAACAAGCTTTTTAACTCTAGCTCAACGACAGCTGTCAGCCACCGATGAGGAGCGCTTGCTTTGAAACCCTTGAAAGCTGCTTCCTTGGGATAATGTTGCGACACATCTAAAGGAATTGTTCATGCTCGGAGTCGATTCTCAATGGCAAATGCATCTACTCTAGTGTTTTTGTCTTATTATTTTTATTAAATTTGTGCATTTATAAACAAGGTGTAGCCACTCAATAAAAGAAAAACAATCAAACCTAACAAAAAATGGCAAAAACTAACATTCAAACAGACCTAAATCAATCTTGTATTGAATGAGCTGTAATCTGGGGTTTGCGAAGACGTTATTGCAAATCTGTTTCTTGAGGGTTTCACCATCTGTTGTGGGGGTGGTTGTAATGGAGTCTTTGGTTATTGAGATAACTCCGTATAATTTTGCCATTTGTTTCAAGAATGCTGATATTGTGAATAGAGCTTTTACCATCGGAGGTTGCAAGTTATCAATTTATGCGTTTTTGAGTTATGGACATTCTAGAAACTGTTCTTGAGTGAAATCAAATGTCTGGGTTAATTTATGTTGCTTTATGATGATGCCTTCAAACAGGTGTTCTACGTGAGTAATTCCTTTGAGGAGGAGGGAGGAGGAGCTCTTGTGCTGTTTTTGTATTATCGCTCAGAAAAATCATAAATCTCTCAATGGAGAGTTCATTGCATTCTGATTGTTCAATGTCAAACCATGTGTCTTGGTGAGCGTTTGAGTGAATCTATTTCATGATGTACTGTAACTGATTAGAGAGGTAATATTGAAGGCAATGTGGGGGCATATAAACTTCTGCAGTGTTGTAAATTTAATTCTCAGTTGTTTGTTTTTCCAGTAGAATTAGACCTTTGATTAAACAGCTGAGTATTGGTTGGACAGTGATCATTGAGAATAGATAGTTGATTCTGGCTAAAATTGACATTTAGATTGCAATGCGTCCTGCTACGGCAGGAGTCGGCAACCCGCGGCTCCGGAGCCGCAAGCGGCTCTTCAGCCCCTCTGTTGCGGCTCCCTGAGGCAACATCCACACTAAACGTTTTTGTTTTAAAACGAAAACAATCTCCGTTCACACGGCATTTCAGCATCGTTTTCGAGATGATCTCCGTCCAGACTGACACGCCTGAAAACGAATATCACGTGACTACGTACACTGGGCATGCGGCTGGGTGCCGACGTAAACAGGAAGTAGATTGGTTGCTCAAAGCCGCTAACTATGGGTACATCCCAAGTCTCTTAATTGCATCCCCGTTTCCCTCACTTGTGTCCTTTCCTTGCGTCTTAGTCCCTCCCACCAAGGATGCATGGAGAGACGCAAGGAAACCATGTGAGGAGAGAGGAAACAAGGAAATATGTTTTAGGATACATGAGACGTCCTTTCCTCTGAAGCATCACGTGAAGCGACGTCTGTTTCTGATGACGGTGCTGATGATCACAGCTGGATCAGCCGTCAGTCGGCTTTAACAGCTGGAGAGACTTTTGATAAGTTTGTGTCTATACACAATATCACTGTACTTAATAATAGTAACTAATAATACTAATAGCTAATAAA